TAGTATATATACGGAGTGTGGAGCGGCCGGGCCCGGTCTCGCAGAGAGTCGAGTCGTAAATTGTCACGGTTCCTAGTAAATCATACACGCGATGGTGCGACGCGATGCGCATAATTTATGTCGTCGTCGTCGTCGTCGTCGTTTGCAAGCACGGGCTTCGGCCCCGCGACCAAAGAGGATTAGGCCGTTATATACGTATAGAAATATAGTCGAGGCAAGATGGACGTGCTGCTGCTGCCGCTGCTGCTACTCGTTGGGACAGGAGATAGAGACTCGGTTCTTCCCTCGGGTGATCATTAAGAGCGATAATTATTATTTAACCACGAAGACGAGGATAATGTACGCTAGCTCGAGCTTTTCGTCGTCGTCGTAGTCGCAAGCTCGCAAGCTCTCTCGAGTGGACCAAACGCGATCAAAAGCGCTTTTGCCCCCGTTGCGGACCGTACGTATATAGAGTCGTAGCAGCAGCAGCAGCTTTCAATATTCTCTACGTATATAAACTATAGACACATAAACGTACCTCTATACATACCTGCCTGAGCGCAAGAGAAACGAACGAGTGAAATGTTCTTTTGATGAGTTATACACAAGCCAAACACGCGCGCGCGCTCGGTAGGTACTGGCATATACTCTATACTATACACACGTTGTGCTGCGCGCGTTAATTTCTTTATTTCGCAGCTCTCTTGCTCCGGACTGCCGTTTCAAAGCTGTTAAAGAGTGACTAGCACAGAATGACCTGTGCAGAATTTGCACACGGCACACCGCGCGCTGAGCGCTCGAGAGCTCGAGAGCTGAGAGGCCAAGATAAAAATGAAAAAGTGTTGAAAAAAAAAGAGGAAGAAGAAGAAAAAAGAAGAATCGTAAAAACGTGTGCGTTCCATCGTGTGCTCTTTCAAGGGCTGTTATTTGAACTGCGGTTAAAGCCTCTACACTCCTGTACACAGTCAGGCGCGGCTGTGAGGCTGTGGTTTTCAACTCGACAGAGAGAGAGAACGAATTTTCTCTCGCTTGTCGTGGTATACCTTATATCTTACGAAAATAATTGAACGCAGTCACACTGTGTTATTGTTATTGTTGTTGTTGTTGTTTGACTCAAAGTATGCACAAAACTCGCAGCTTTTTTGCCTGCGGAGGAAAAGCTCGACACTCGGCTCATCTCGTTATCGAAAACGAGCGATTAAATCTACCTTCGCGCGCACAACCATTCCGCTTTAATTTTATATATTGTACATAATATCCATGGAAAACAGTGGCGCACAGCCCAGCCGAATCGCTTTCTCGTTCGCGAAACAATTTTTAGTCTTCGCCTCGGGAAGGTAATTTAGACAATGATTCGAGCTTGCGCAGAGAGAGTCGTAAACGCGTTACGGATTAATATTTGACTTTAACATTGTACGAATACAGCATCCGACCGTATAGTAATAACTGGCAACTTGCGAGTTGGAAGTTTTCGAGCCCTGCAAAATATAACTATTAATAACGTCGCTGCCGCTGCTTCTCGACGTATAACAGTTAGCAACAAAGAATATATTCATTATGAACGAGCCCCAAAGTCAAGCTCTCGAGTGTCAGTCTACTACTGCTACCTGCCTAGGCCCTGCCCGTCGTCGATCTTTACCCAAGCCGAATTGCGTAATTGAATCTTTAACTTTTATAACGAGTTGGGCTTATAATCCGTGCAACGACGGCGGCTGCGGCGGTGGCGTTGGAATTAAATCCACTTCTTATATATGCACGTACGCGCGGGAAAGTTTCAAAATGATTTTATAAAGGTTGTGCGTCGACGTGTGTCTGTATTATGACGTTAAATAAATATACACGGAGAGAAATACTATACTAAATATCAGCACATTCGCAAGCAAAAATTACTATATTATAAGATATTCTAAAAATTGCCATATTAACATAGTAAAAATTGGTATGTAGCAAATTTTACTATAGATTATGGGAAAATTTGAGAATAAATATTTCAAAAATTATTTTGTATTGTAACAATTTTTACCATGAACAAAGCTTCTATTTTCATTAACAGATGGCGTATGATCAGTTCCTGCAAGTGGCAGGAAAACTGTCCGATTGGTATATATACTGCGCTAAATATTGAATACACGTCTGTTACGTAGGTCTATTTCTAGAGGCAGGCAAATGTTTGTGTTTGTAAAAACCGACCAATGAAATAATTCCATGATCGCAGAAAGCAGGGATAGGTCAAATACTTTGGGCTCTCAAAAAATCGAAAAATCGTCTCGGGAAGCCACTCAAGAAAATTATTATTTTAAAATAATTTTACTAATCTAAAAAATACCACATACCGCACTAAAAATTACTATGTTACATAACAAAAATTAATATATATCGACTCTGGGGCTCTTTTTCTAGAGAACATAGCAATATGTGCAAGCTAATGTGTTGATATTTAGTATAGTAATTCTCTCCGTGTATATTCACGTACGCGCGGGAAAGTTTCAAAATGATTTTATAAAGGCTGTGCGTCGACGTGTGTCTGTATTATAATGTTAAATATATTTATATCCGTGCACACCGGTACGCGCTGGTGCAGGACAATCCTCACAATAGCCGATCATTAAATTCGAAGATGGCTTCATTAAAGTCGACGGACGAGCGGAATATACATCCTCGAAATCCTCGTTACTCTTTACCTGCGCAGCTTTTATATTTGCGAACAATGGAGATCTTTCTTTACCTCTCTGCCTCTCTCTCGCACCCAAGACGGATGAGATGAGGGGTTGATGTATATTCCGCGTTTACTCGACTCCCTGTCTGTCTGTACCACGACGCACGACGCGACACAGCTAATTGTTCTTAAACAAGAAAAGAGGAGCTTGCATAATTAATACATTTTCGAGAATAAAGGGTTAAAAATCGACGCGTACTGGTATACTTCATCGATCTCGATCTCGTTTGTGTAACTTTCGCAAAAATAAGCCTTAAGAAAGCCTGTACCTTACGTTATATACACGCACGAGCTACCATTCACGTTAACGTTGTCGTACTTCGTATCGCGCCACAGTTGTACATATATCTATATATATTTTTGTGCGAGCAGTATATGCACGCGCCGTACATACACATTGTAGATAATAAATAGAGGTGAAACATGACGGGAGCGCCGCCACTGCTACTGCCACTGCGCTACTGCGTCGGATAGCTTTATATTTACGAACTCGTCGGCGTATTGGCAGCTCCAGCTATAGCTCTAGCATATATATAAACTGCAACATCAAAAATGTCTGACAAACTCATCGCAATACTCCGTGCGGCTAAATTTATAACGCGTATGTGTGTGTGTGTGTGTGTGTGTGTGTGTATGGGTATCGTTATACACAATGTATGTAAATTATGCACAAGTTCGTAATGAATAAATTTAATGCGTATAAATATGCGCGCGCGCGCGCGCGCGTGTTTATAAATTTTGAGCGCGTTTAATATAAAGCGACTCCGAGTTTAATTTGTACAAAGCTCGTTTGCAAAAATTGACGAACTTTCGGACTTGCTCGTTATTTGTCTTTTATAAATTATGAATTATATTAAAAGTTGAAGACGAACGAGACCCGATGTAATTTTCAGTCGGTTTAGCGTGAAATAAACACGACCTCTGACCTGTAATAACGGATCTCTGTAACCATAAAGCTCTTCTACGTATTACATACGTACGAACGATTACGTAAAGCGAAGGTACTTTGGCGGCTCGTACATCGATTTGTATCTCTCTCTTTCTCTCGGTAAAGTCTCTGTAAAATGTCTGTAAACGCACGTAAATACACGGAGTCTCGAACACAAAAAAAAAAAGTAAAAAGGAAAGAGAGATATCACGTAGTACACGTATGTATAGAAAGGACATCAGCGTCGCGCACACATATCATGCGGCGCAGTAAGTACATTCGCGCTCGTGACACGTGTCGAGGAGGAGTAAGGGAGAGGGAGGCGACGCAGAAAAAAAACTCGAACCGATATCGTAAATCCTTCCATTGCACTCGCTACATATATACGACGTATAAACTCGCGTCTTTGTGCCCGCGCTGAACCTATATAATGCACATTTATAGGGCGAAATGTATGGACTGCGCAGAAGAGCGAGTGTATGTGTACGTATACGTATACGTGGTTGCGGGTAAATATTATATTTTCCTGCATATATGCGTACGTATACGGTGTGATTTTACTCGCGCGTTTCATAAGTAAGCATGTATACGTCTATATATCCAAGTGTGTAAATGCACGTATATTATACTACTGTCTATATTATATATCGCGTATGTATATTCGCGAAAACGAGCTACATCGCGAGTTTCGCCTTTATTTTCGCCCGCGCCGCGCGCTAGCTATTTATGATTGTAATTTAAGCTTCGAGAAATTTACACTCGACCAATATTGACCTTTCTACGCGTTCGATGGGTTTACATTACTCATATAATAATACATACGGCACTTGTGTGCACATTCTTATACGCTTCGAAAGGGATTCCAAGATTTTTTTAGTCATTATATCGAGTCTATAGCGCACAGACGTACGCACACACAAATTATACATCGAGGATAAGTCAAGGAATTATGCACCGCGATGCTGTTTTTCCTCGCGCTTATGTAGTCTCACAAGCGCCACTCGAGACACGTTGCGTTAGTTGCAGCCGTAATCCAGTCCTCCGCGTGTCCTTTTTTATCTCTCTCTCTTTTCCTCGTGTACACGAACCAGTAGTGCATTAACGGATGAAATTTAGATACGGCGGAAGTGCTACTTAATACGTATATTCGATTTATCCCACTCTAATGACGATGACTTATATACATGGTACACGCGCGGGGAGGCTGTAATTATTGCAGCTAAAATCATCATTAATTCGATTCCGCTACTTTAACTGCCACCTATAAAAGAAGAAACATACATATCCAAGACTTTTTGATCGTACCTTGTTTCGATGTGTATATATACGCATAAAAATGTTATAATCCTGTTTTTTTTTTTCATTTATTCGCAGCTCTCCGGCATCGTGGTAGGTGGAATCGGAATCTGGACGGTGATCGCCAAGCACAGTTACATATCGCTGATGGCGACCTCGACCTATCCCTTCCTGGCCTACGCGCTCATAGTCGCCGGCGGACTGGCGATAATCGGCAGCTGGCTCGGCTGCGGAGGAGTCACGTCGGAGAATCGTTGCGTCATACTCGTGGTGAGTTGTTTGCACTCATGGAATATATCAATTTTTTTTATAAGCCCTGATATAGAAATTTGATCAGCATTGATGGCCACAAAGCGACCGTACTTAAAAGTTTGTAAGATTTGTAACCATTGGATTGTTTTGAGAGGTCATTTTTGGGTACAAATACGTTGAAAATATTGAGCACATTTGTAAATGACCTGGAAATAGAGACTAAATTGCTTCCAATTTTTCGAGCATACCAATCCCTTTCTTTCGACTACTTCAAATACGATAATATCACTTTCAGCATCTACCGCTAGATGGCGAGCAACCACACCTGCAAATCTGCAAGTGGCAAAGTCAAAATAACTGTATAATTTAGGTTCTCAACTAAGCTTGGTTTATGGTTTAAAATGACGGCTATGTTTATATCCCGTATTATACACTAGCGATCATTTATAATTGGTTTTTTGTTGATAATATCACTTTCAGCATCTACCGCTAGATGGCGAGCACCCACATCTGCCAATCTGCAAGTGGCAAAGTCAAAATAGCTGTATAATTTAGGTTCTCAACTAAGCTTGGTTTATAATTAATAGCCCAGCTTCATTTATATCCCGTATTATACACTAGCGATCATTTATAATTGGTTTTTTGTCACTCTACTCAACGAAGCATGAACTCGCTTCATACACATGCGACTTTTAAATGCATTTATATTTTAAGTCACACGAGCATACCGAGAGCGAGATAAAAGCTTTTAAGCTCGGCTGTTTGTGTATACACATCACTGAATTATTCAATGATGCCGTGGATGGTCCCTTTAATCATAACTTTTACCTTCGTCGAGTCATACTTTACACACGCTCTTTATTCATCGATTCACGTTGTTTACGACTCGCGCGTAAAGATAAGCTGTTTTTCATTTTTTGCTCCAATTAGTTCGCACAACATTGAAAAACACACACACAATATGCTTTTATATTGATAAAACCGAATACATAATTTAATACAGTCCGCAATTTCACCGCGGTTCCCCTTCCTTTTTTCTTTTTCGTCGATTTCGATCGTATAATGAACCCTCTCTCTCTCTCTCACTTTTTTGGGGCAACCGGCGCCAAAATAATAAAATAAAATCCGCTTCCATCTTTTTCGGCAAAGATTGATCGCATCCGTCGAAGATTTATATACGCGTGCTGCCGCCGCTTTGCGGGATGATTAATTTCGCGCCTCACACCTCTTTTGTCGCGGCGCGGCAAGAACGAACGGACGCGGCAGCACGGATTAGGGAAGGAGGAATGGGCGCGATATATAGAGCAGTGTATAGCGCACGGGCGCCAAGAATAGGCCATCGCTCTTGTACACACGGGAGGTAGAGCGAGAAACTTGTCCGGCAGCCCGAAGCAGCAACGCCAGATGGCTCTTATAATGTAACGGGCTTACATTCACGCACCGGCGAAAAGTCCATCTCGCGCAATTAATACTCAACGCGAGATGGATATTTCTCACCTGTAAGGTTTTGTTCTTTTACTCCTGAAAGTTTATCTTACAAAGTTTCTCGGTTGTTGTTGTTGTCATTGTGCGATTCTTTTTTTTCTTTTTGCTCAAAGTGCGAACTCCGAACCATTTAGTTTGATCGCTGCACACTTTACACTGTTTCACCGGCTCGCGACGAAAGAGCAACAAAGTAAAAAAAAAGAAAGAAAATCGCCTCTGCGAGTATACGAATGCGATGAACATCTGCAGCAGCAGCAGCAGTAGCAGCAGTAGTTTTCTAATTGTTCGAATTTCGGGCATTAGTCAAGATTTACGGGAATACGAAGATGGATTCGAGAGAAGCAGCAGCCGGAAAGCTTATATATATACTATATGGCTGCTCGGAAGGAGCTTTTCGATAAGCATGCTCGCTCGCTCGCTCACCGGCGAGTGTATTAACTTCAAACGAAAAACTTTAAAGTATCCGTGAGTGGTTCTTCGCGCAGAGGCCCATCGCAGCCGTTCGTCGAACTTTTTCTCTCCGGTTAACGTCATTATCTTTTATTGTTTTTCATCTGCGTGTGCGCGCAGCAAAGAAAAAAATCAGCTCCCGTCCCCCATCGATTTTTTTTTTTTTTTGCGTAAAAAGCCGAGCTCTGGCCTAGCTGACTGCGCCCAGGATATAATTAAATTTGTCGGATATCTTCCTCGATGGGCGAGCTTGAATGAAAAAAAAAAGAGAAGAGGAGAGAAAAAAAATCGAGAGGGAAATTGGTATACTCTCTCTCTCGCTCCTCGTCGATTTCTTTCTCCCGGCGTGAGTGATATTATATTCGAAGAGGCGCACGAGTAAGTGCGCGTATATATACAATGTGTATGTACCACACCAGGTACACTCGTGCTGCACTTGCACCCGGCATTATTGGAGCTGTATATAGCTCGGTGCTATATAATATGTACTACTCTCGTCGTCGATCGTACGGTACCGTACCTACGTACATACACGTGCATCGCTGCAGCATTCATACATCAAGGAAAAGTTACAAGCTTTCCTTCCCTTTCTCTCCCTCTCTCTCTGCCCTTCCCGCCACTACAAAGCCTCTTTCAAAGCTGCGTACTTTGAAAAAAAAAGAGTCTCGAGCTTGCACTCCAGCGGTACACAGACTGCACATACATGTACGCGCGTACACTTCGTCGTGTAGCACAACGTTTCAAAGTTTTTCTTTTTTTTTATTTTTATTCAAAGGCCCAAACGCCGTACTTTCGCTGGTCCTCGCGGCAGTTTCTCTCTTTCTCTCTCTCTCTGCGCGTGCACAGACTTGCGGAGCTTGCACGCCGTACTTACTGCGCCTCATAATACGTATACGCGCATTGATATATTCTTTCAACAGCGAGTTGCTGCTGCTGCCGCCGCCGCTGTTGTGTGCCATTTTAGAAGTTGCACTTGTGCACAACTCTCGTTTGTACTTGCACTACGACGACGGAGGAGGAGGAGGAGGAAGAGGAGTGTAATGAAAAAAAGACCACCGCACGCTTGTTGTACAGGTGTGTTGTGTACGTTATATCGCTCGCGCGCGCGCGTTATCGCTATTATTTCCGAACTTTGTGGCTTTTAAAACTTCCCTACCTATCTGTGTCTTTCGCTCGAGCTTGTCTCCCTCTCTCTCCCGCGCGCGCCCAAACGTATTGTTCGTTTTAATGAGATTTCGCGCGTCGTCGTCGTCGTCGTGTTAAACACAAGCAGGTACACGAACTTGGAGTACTCGCGCGAGAGGAGGAACAAAACGTTGAGTCCCATTATATATACATGCGCGTGTTGGAGAGACAAGAAAAAGAACTATTTGTCCGTGTGTGTGCGTGTATGCGTGTAAACTCGCTCGACACGCGTTTGTATTATACGTATTATACGGTTTCTTATCAGGGAGACTCTACAGCGAGCGAGAGTAAATTTCATTCACGTATAAACACGTACTGTATACTCGCGCACAGCCGCGCGATTACATTGTACACGCGCAATTGTTGTTTCGGAGTATCTTTTACGTGATTAGTGGTATATACACATGTACGTCTCTGGGATACGGGAAGAAAATTAGCCGCGCGAGATATGGATAAATCTTTTGTGTGCGTTTGCGTCACGATGTATAGTATGTTTTTCAAAGAATTTCGATGCGGCGTACGCGACGTAATTTTTCTCCTGAAATTACTGATAAAAATTTTCCCGAGAAAGAAGAAGTTCATGACCCACAGCAGCAGCAGCAGTAGCACTTGTACAATGCACGAGGTATATAAGTTTATAAGCAAGTACCAAGGTTGATTAAATTGTACACGCGCAGTAAAACACGCGGTAGCTCCGTGCGCGCGCCCAACCAACAGCAGCAGCTTGACTTTAAATATTCTCCTGCATAGACAAACGAACGAGATAGTCCCGTTGCTGCTGGGCAGCCACAGAAGCAGCAGCGGCGTATACGTATGTACGGCGCTTGTATATATAAATATGTTCCTCGCCTCTCGACCGAGCTGCAAATATAAGCGAGAGAGCGAGAGAGGTAAGAGAAGAACTTTTGCCCGGAACTTAATTAAAATTTATGAGATGCATGCGGTTGGACACGCGCGCGGCCACGTGGTGTATATATATATAGATACAATATAATGCATCAGGTGTATAACTCGTGTGCTGGTACTTGCGCGCCACGTATATACATACAAATACGATCGAGCTTCGTATGCCGCCAACAGCTACAGCGGTATTATGTACGTATGTATGTGCACCGAGAGCCGTATATATACGTACGGCCAATGATAATCGAGCTCACAATTTGTAAGTCTGTATATATATTAGTTCGATCGTGTAAAGTTATCATTTGTATGAAAAAGTCGTACTTATGACTCTGCTTGCCCAGCCGTTCCAATCGTGATCGATTTTCTCTAATTTATAAAATTATTTAATTGAAATATTGAAAATATTATTAAATATTAAAACAAATTTAATCATTTTTTTTTATTCTTAATAAGATTGCGTCATGCACTGCGGTACGCCGCAAAAAAAGCGCAATTGTTGAACAGCCACGTGCGCTCGAGCCTAAAGCCTAAACGCTCGAGTTTCAAAAAATATCATGGAAAATTTAAACAATTTCATCTTGGTCAAATGGTTCCAAGTACTATTTAAAATATTTTTTTCTCAATTCTGACACCAATGAAATGTTCCTCAATTTATTCGGAATTTTTCAGTAGCGACGCTGAAGTCTGGAGCTGAACGGCATCTTATTTGAACGAAAATAATTTTTTGGGACGATGAGAAAAATCTTTTTGGTGTTCTTTGACTAATTTCAAAACTTTTTTGTTTTTGCATTTTTGTTCAATTCGAAAATAGTCATATAAATCGAAATAGTTGACATTTTCTTTTTATGATGGTGAAATATGTTCATACTACACCTGATTGACCAAAAAATTTTTACTCAAGTTCTGCAATCCCAATTATATTACTTCTTTGATAAAAGTAAATATTTTAAATGAATTGATAATCCAAGGTAGGGTGAAAATCCGATTCCAAACTC